TTTACTCATTTTCACGCATCGGCGGACGGTCCATACAGCGTGGTAATCCAGCGAACCAAAACAAATTCGTCGAGAATAAGGAGCCGTGATGCTGATGATGGGCACTGCGGGCTGGTGAGTACTACTCTTTACCTCCTTCATATCCCTTAGTAAACTTGGAATTAGACATTATAATTTTGACAGTTATTTGGGTTTCAAATACAAATCTTACTTAAATTTTATTAAGTATTAAGTGCAATAAATAACTATTACTTAAATAAAAATTAAAATAATATTAATTTAATTGTAATACGTACCTAATATTAAGTCCCATATTACTCAATAAAGTTATAGAGTATATTATATAAAGTATTATACATTATATTAAGTTCTCATCAGTCTTCATGTGTTTGTTAATTTAAAAATTACTTGACACGTTAATACATAATAGATTAGTACTTATACTCGAATTTTCCTTACAATATTTGTGGAACTGGTAGAGTTATAATAAATATATTTTATTTTTTATTTTTTGTGTCGAACCAGTGAATAAATTATTATAAATGTCGGAAATTAAACTTATCCCTAAAACACCATTTATATTTTTTTTTGCTTAAATGTGAGTATATAATAAGTAACTTTAAATCATCCGATGTGCAAAATGAATATATAATGCAAATCATTACTTGTCGTCTTACGGGCGAGGCCACGTCGCTTATCAGTGAACGGGAAGATATAGAGACGTGGGCCGAATTCAAGGAATTGTTTTACCTCACTTCGGCGACCCACGTAGTGAGGAATGTTTAGCCATAGAATTAGAAACTTTAAAGAAACACCAAAATGAAAATTATACAGATTTTTGTGGTCGTATACAATCCGTTAAATCAGTGCTATTATCGAAGGTTAATCAAATTGGTGATAAAAACATAAAAAAAGGTAAAATTATTATTTATAATAACACCGCTGTGCAGGTTTTCTTATATAATTTATCCGAAAATATGGTGCGGATTGTTAGGTTGAAAACACACAGTACACTAAAAGAAGCACTAAGTATAGTTCTAGAAGAAATAAATTTCTATGACCGATATCAGATGCGTAGTAAAATGTTACAGTCTAGCCATACGTCTAAGCCACAGTCTAGTAGTACACTAGTACAACAACCATCGTTTAAGTTCGCAATGCCAACACAGCCTTTACCTTACCACAAAATAAGCTTATTAATCCATTAGGTTCTGTTATCAAAGCGGTTACAGGAAACTTAGACCACAATAATGCAGTAAAATACGACAATCACATATCTCAATGAAAGACCTATCAAACGCACACTAATAAGGAAATAAAAATAATCTTGGAGATGCTTGACTCTCTTATAAACAGTACTGGATCTCTACAGGAAAATACGGAAATTGTAAATGAACGAATGAAACGTACAGAAAGAATTGTAAAATATATAATTACTTAAGACGATAACAGCATATACTCCTCATGTGTTTTAAGTATGTTTAACATGTTTGTCAATAATTTTAGAACAGTATACTTAATTTTAAGCGAAATAGAAACGGCATTAGCATTTACTAAACTTCACGTTCTACATTAAGCCATTGTTAACTCCACTGAATTATTAGTAATATTAGAATCTATATCTCATACAAATAGTTTATTGTATCCTATTACTGAAAACAATTTAGTTAATTTAGAAAGATCTTTGACGGCTCCGTGGCGCAGTGGGTTAGCAATGAGTTGCTGCGCTGGGGGCCGCTGGTTTGAATCCCGCACGGAACTAGTATTTGAATGATCTAAAAATAATTGTTCCGGGTCTGGATGTTTGTCCTTGTGCAATTTATGTTTGTAAACCGCCTCCACGACACAGGAGAAAATCCTTGTGTGGGTGTAACGTTTTATATTAAAAAATAAATAAAAATATGTCTGTTAAGGCCTATGTAAAAGAAAACCAAATAACGTTCATTATGGAAATCTGTAATTGAATCTGCACTTAGCTTAAATCTTATATGATAGTTTAAGAATTTAATTTTTTTTTGGTGTAAAATTTGTTGGCTGTCCTTAATAAATAAATAAATAAATAAAAGTTATTTTCTTTCCCTTTTGTGTGGATTAAAGAATATCACAATCATTCTCTTAGAGGTGGAATATTTTTCTCCGAATTTTACATGCGTTTTACAAACTACACATAGACAAACATTCGACTCCGGAATATAATAGATATTTATGACCTACAAAAACGAAATGGCTAGCGCGGAACCCCCGGTCGCTGCGACCACTGATCGAATGATGTATCAGTCTCGTAAACTATGTACGTAGCGCGATCTGAGATTTGAAACAAGAATTTGTAACTTTTGCAAGCAAGCTACGGGGTACTGTTAGCTTTTAACTTTATTCTTCGTTAGATGTTTTAATTGCAGCTTATAGAAATATCTGCAGAATAATACAAAACCTTTTCATTTAATCTCATTGTTTTTAAAATCTATTTTCCTCCCGTTTGGAGATGCCATTGCGATCTTTGCGTACTAATGAGACAGCACTAACTTATTTGCTATGTTTTCTCCTGTTTTGGTACCAACTCAACAAATAAAATTAATTAAATAAAAGATATTCAGGTTCACAAAATCAGTTTAAAAATATAATAAATATTATGATAAACTCTAAGCAATCATTACCAAGCAAAACTTCATCATCACCATTATCATAGCAGCTCATCACAAGTCCACTGCTGAACACAGGCCTCTTAAGTAATGCCACATAACACAGCCTTGAACAACCTACATTCATTAACATTTCACATTTCGTAACTTCACCTAGACATGCGAACACACAATCCACCTTATGGAAAGTGGATCCTGTACCTCATATGTAGATCAAGAATTAAAATTCCGATGCATTGTCAAACATGAGGACGTTTTTTGGAACGAAGTTTGTTATCGGACGGTACGAATTTGGCGTATGGGGGCTAGGCGAGAAAAAATACACGATTTTTAGTTACGACTCCTTCTGACGTAGTGTAAATAGCCTTGGCGGCAATAAGGGATATAAGATAGACAGAATAATATCTATCTACCTCGCACTTTTTCTTATCTTGTTATGAAAGAAATATTATTTTATTTTAATTGATGCTTCATTTTAATAGATGCTAGTAATTCATTTATTTGTTAATCAATAATATAATACGTTTATCAATAATAATATACTACAAAAGTAACTTCGTTCCACTGAGTGTTCCATATCACTCACGCATGTTTTGTTATAGAATAAGTGTGACAAACGAGCATACAATCCACTTGATGGTAACGGGACGCTATGTGCTATAGACATCTACATTTATCCTTGATTAAGAATCAAAACCATTACGTTTCGTTCCAAGCAAACTTAATAATAAAAATGTATACACAATTCCAACTTTTGTTCGATAAAATTAAATTAGAAATGCAACATCAATCCACGAAACTTAAAGAATCTATTACAAATAACATAATGACTAGAATGGATGAAAAATTAATCTCGATTATAGAGGAAAATAAAAGTTTAAAATTAAAAGTAGAAAATCAGGAAAAAGAGATAGAATATTTAAAAAGAGAAAAAAGAAATAACAATATAATTATATTTGGCGTGGATGAAATAGAAAAATCAACATTGGAACTAATAAATAATATAAAGAAAACATTTAAAAGCGACATAAACATTGATATAGAAGAAAATGGAATAAACAATATATACCGAATAGGAAATAAAGATAGAGAAGGTAATAAACCGAGGCCAATCCTCTGTTCTTTCGTGAACGGATGGAAAAAGAGAGAGATAATCAGAAACAAGAAGGATCTTAAGAAGATATATGTCACGGAAGACTATCCAAGGGAAGTTCTAGCTAAAAGGAAAGCTTTACAGGCGGAGCTGGTAGAAGAAAGGAATAAGGGAAAAATAGCATTTTTGAAATATGACAAGCTTGTAGTGAAGGGAAATAAAACAAAACGAAAACCGGAAACATCTTCTTCACCGCATTCTTCGGACATGCAACCTAAAAAACAGCAAACCTCCATAGCCTTTAAGGCTAATAGAACTAACGCGTTCGATGTGATGAGAAACAGATCCAACTCTCTTACTAATGTCCCTACAAACAAACAACAATAGCAACAGACTCTCGGCAAACGGAACATACAACAGCACAAAGAAACAAAAATATCTACAACAATAAAGCAACACCCTCCCCCAAGCCGACTGGTCATCGTGGGGGATAATGACCAACACCCTCTAAGGTTTGATAAACAAAAAAGGAGAAATAATTGTGACATACACATAGCGTCGCTTAACACACGATCATTAAGAACCCCAGAGAAACTAATTGAATTAGAAACAGCAATCAACGAAATTAAATGGGATATTATTGGAATAAGCGAAATGAGAAGATTAGGAGAAGGAATAGAAGACAACGGAAAGTATATACTATATTACAAAGGAGAAACACCAGGGCAATATGGTGTCGGTTTTTTGATAAAACGGAGCTATACTGACCGAATAGAAGAATTAAAGGAATATCTGAAAGAATAGCAATTCTCAACATTAAACTTCCCATACAAAATAGAAAAGATGAATATTGGTCAATTATTCAGGCATTCTCACCAACTGAAGCAGATAAAAAAGAAGATGTAGATAAAATAGAAGACTTTTACCAAAAATTACAAAAAACTGTTGATACTTCTCACAAAAACATAATATTAATGGGTGATTTTAACGGGCAAATTGGTGTATGCCACAGAGGCGAGGAGCATACTATAGGAAGACACGGTTATGGCAACAGAAGTAAAAATGGAGAAAAATTGGTGAATTTCTGTTTAGAAAACAAACTAAGCATCTTGAACAGTTTCTACAAAAAGAAAAAGAATAAGAAATGGACGTGGACTTCCCCAAATGGACTGCATAGAAATGAAATCGATTATATTATGACCAATAAACCAAAAGTTTTTAAAGACATGTCAATTATACACAATTTAAATTTTAACTCTGACCATAAAATGATTCGTGCGACGCTACGAGGGACTCATGTAAAGAAAAATCGAAGGTTGCAAGCTAAATCGGTACCCTATGTGAATATTGAAAATAACGCGGAGCTAATGAACAACTTAAAAGAAATTCTAGAAAGAAAAGAAGAAGAAAAATGCAACAAATCAATCCAGGAGAAATATTGCGACTTTGTAAATACCCTCAAAACTGAGGTCAGGAAAGTCTATACAAATAATAAAGTAATACTATCCACCAAAACGACTCAATTACTTAAGGAAAGAAAATTGCTTCTACAAGACACGAAAAATAAAGAGACACGTAAAGAAATTGCAGAAATAAGTAAAAAGATCAAAGAACAAATAAGAAAAGACAGAAAGCAAAGAAGGACAAGCACTCTTCAATATCATATTAAGAAAACGGGCGGAATAAAGAAAGCGTTTAAAGAGTTAGAATTAAAGAAACATTGGACACTAAATATGGAGGATAAACAGGCAAAATGTTCTAGCAAAAGAGTTGAAATTTTCAATATTGCTACGGAATATTATAAGGACCTTTATAAGAGCAAAAATGGAAAACTCACTACGACTACGATGGACGACACGCAAGATTCTGAACCTTTACCACCTGTTCTAAAAGAAGAAACAGAAAGAGCTATTATTACGCAGAAGTTAGGAAAAGCACCCGGGCCTGATCAAATTACTAATGAACTTCTTAAAATATCAATGCCAGTGATTGTCCCCAAACTAACCAATTTATTCAACGAAATAATAAAAACAGAAAATATTCCAGAAGATTGGACGAAATCAGTAATAGTTTTGTTACATAAAAAAGGAGACAAAATAGACATTGGCTATTATAGGCCGATAAGCTTAATGTCTAACATATATAAGATCTTTTCAAAAATTATATTATTTAGACTAACTAACACCCTCGATGAAAATCAGCCAAAGGAGCAAGCTGGATTTAGGAGCCACTTCTCGACTATAGACCATATTCACGTCCTGCGACAGATACTTCAGAAATACAGAGAATACAACAAAATATACTAAGTGGGTTTCGTAGACTTCAACAAAGCTTTTGATTCTTTGGAACATCACTATATATGGGAATCATTAGAGAGACAAGGCGTCCATAGAAAGTACGTACGAATACTACAGAACATTTATGGGAAAAGTACAGCACAAATAAAATTGGAAATAACAGGCGACGAGTTCCCAATTGGAAGAGGCGTCCGTCAAGGTGACCCTATTTCGCCAAAGATATTTTCAGCTGTGCTGGAGATGATTTTTATGAGACTAGGTTGGGATCATTTCGGACTTAACGTGAACGGAGAGAAACTGAGTCATTTGAGATTCGCTGACGATTTAATACTCTTCTCCGAATGCCCGAATACATTGAAAGTAATGTTACAACAATTATCAGACGAAAGTGCAAATGCAGGTCTTACAATAAATTTAACAAAAACGAAAATAATGACTAAGTCTCCACAAAAAGATATTATCAGAATTAATAATCAGCAATTAGAATACGTAAATGAGTATATTTATTTAGGACAATTAATATCACCGACAGAGAACATGCAGAAAGAAATTGAAAGAAGAATAGCTAACACTTGGAAAAAATTCTGGTCGTTAAGTGAAATAATGAAGAATAAAGAGATGCCAATGTCGGAAAAAAGAAAAGTTTTCAATTCTTGTATCCTGCCATGTCTGACATACGCATGCCAAACTTGGGCCTTAACTGAACAACAACAAAATAAAATCAACATATGTCAGAACGGAATAGAGAGAAGCGTATTGGGAGTACGGAGAAAAGATAAAATAAAGTTAAAACGGATGAAAGAAAAGACAAAATTCGGAAAAGTCCAATCAGTATGCAGAAAATTTAAATGGCGCTGGACGGGACACATGTTGAGAGAAAAGAAAGAGAAATGGACCAGAATAATAACTGAATGGTACCCTAGAGAAAACAGAAGAAGTAGAGGAAGACAGCCAAAGCGATGGGAAGACGATTTTAAGAAAGTAGCAGGACCAGAATGGTTACGTACAGCAAGGGACAGAAATAAGTGGAAAGCCTTAGAGGAGGCCTTTGTCGAAAGACAAGCTGTTAATAGGGGAGACCAACCGAATGCCGAGAATATGATTTAGTTAGTTAAGTTAATTTGTTTCCTTACCTTTCAACTTTTAAATATTTTTTGTCAATGAGTTTAAACCAACAGCAATAAAGGCTTATTTTATTTTATTTTTTTATTAAGAATCAAAATGCAGATGCGTTGTCACCCGTGAGGACTAAAATGGAATGCCTCGTTTCCAGTAAAAAGGGTCTCCGGTTCTCTACACTTACCATATAAAACACAGCAGCATTGAGCTGCTATTTTACGCTGGTATTCTGTGAGAGCGTGGTCCTACCCCGGTCGAGCCGACCCATTCGCGCTACAACTACCCCGTCGAGCTGACCTATAAGCGGCAGGATGGCTCTACCACGTAAAAATGGAATACCTCGTTACCTGTAAAAAGGGTCTCGAGTTTTGTTTACTAACCATACGAAAAAGTACCACTAAGCTGCTGTTACAGGAGCCAACACATCATGTTGCAACACTAACATAGCTGCAGTTTGACTCTACCACGTAAATGTCCTTGTCGATAGCGGTACGAGGATGTCACTTCTTCCACAGAATATTTCTTCCCCATTAGTTGTTAGTTTTGCGACTTTAAGTCATTAATGATGAATATGTTTCAAGATCTGAAGAATACAATGAACGAGATAAAAGATCAAAACAATGAGCTTAAGGAATCAGTTAAATTCACAGCCGCAAAATATGAAGAGGTATTGGAAAAGTTGCAAAAAATTGAAGAAGATAGGGCCGAAGATCGGAAATACATACGTCAAGTAGAAGAAAAAATAGACCAACAAGAGAGGCAAGCTCGTGCTACCAGCTTAGAGATAAGAAATATACCAAAAATTAGTGACGAAAGTAAGCAGGGACTCTCTAAGATAGTCGTTGAAATAGGTCAAATTATTAACGTGCCGATACACGATGCCAATGTGAAGGATATATTCCGCATGAACGCTAAAAAAAGCTAAACCTCTAATAATTGAGCTTAATAATGTCATGATGAAGGAAAGGATACTGCATGCTGTGAAAAAATTTAATAAGTATAGTAAAGAAAATAAATTGAACACTAAACATTTAATGATGGATATGCCTTATGTCCCGATTTTTATATCTGAGAATCTTAACACAAAAAGTAAACGACTGTTCTTCTTAGTGAGAGAATATTGATCCCAAAACAACTTTAAATATTCTTGGACGTCCTATGGAAAGGTGTTCCTCAGAAAAAAAAGATGGTGCACCACTTATTCGGATTGAGTCAGAAATCGACATAAGTAAATTAAGAAATAAATTGTGACTAGTCTTATCAAGCTCATATTTAAGTATTTGCTGTGCTATTAAATTTATTCATTCCGCTAATTTATCTAAAAAAAAATATTTTTCTACTTAAATTATTTTTTTTTTAAATATTTTTATTTTACTTTCGTAATATCGAATAACGTTTCGCTGCGAATGCTTTATACACAAACACATTACATGAACGCCACAGAAATTCTTTTCATATATACTATCACACCGCGCCAAGCTCTCACACAAATACTGACACAAACTTTTATCCATAAACAATTAAAAATAACTCATTATACAATACAATTCATTGGTTTATATAACCGCCTGATACTCACAAATATTTTTTACGATTGTTGTATACGAGTTCTGCAGTCCTTTAATTATATTTATTCAAATTCAATAGTTTAAATTTAGATATAATTAGAGAAATTGACATCGCCGGTGACATAAATTGTACAATCGTAAATATTATAACAGTTAACATTCGTAGTATTCAACGTAACCTAGAAACATTCTTAATATTCTTAGCTCAACTTGAAATTCCAATAGATATAATAGTACTTACGGAGTGTTGGATTAACGAAAACACAATTATCCCTGTAATTAATAATTATAATTCATTTAGTACTAAAATAAACCATAATCAGAATGACGATGTTGTCCTATACGTAAAAGAAAATATTTCAAATGTACAAATATATGAAAAATTTCTTTATTCGCTACTTATAGATCACCAAGTTTTAGAAACCCCACGGCGTACCTCGACTCTATAGAAAAATTACTAAGTGAAACTCACTCAGAACATATTATTTTTACAGGAGATATTAATCTTGATATCCTCCCGCAGAATATCACAGGATACTCATAAGACTATTTAAATCTTATGGCAGCGTACGGCCTTCAACAAGGAATTGACAAATCAACAAGGAAAGATAGTTGTTTAGATCATTTTATGGTCAAAAGTAGTAGTTCAGTACAACAAACATTTGTATTTGAACCTTTTACTGATCATTGCCCAATACTAATACATCTTGGAAATTCTAATCTGAAGAGAACTAATTACCAGTATGACAAAATTATTATAGACTTTGCAAAATTAGGCGTGGCACTAAGATCTCTTCCGTGGGTAGAATACTATAATTTAAGAACCGCTGATGAAATGGCAAGCTTTCTGATCTCCAAACTGCAAGAATGTATTGTAGACAACAGTACAGTGATAACAATTGCAAGCAGACATAAACCCTTAAAGCCTTGGCTAACTCCAAATGTAATCAAATGTATACGCAATAGAAACAAATTATATAAAATCCTAAAGAAGTCGGGAGATGATGACTATCTAAAAAATAAATACTTAAGTTATAGAAACATCTGTAATTCTACGTTAAAAAAATCTAAAACGTAACTACTACCAATTATAGTTGTATAATCCACCGGTAACGCAAAAAGAACATGGTAAATAATAAAATAAATTAGTAATTTAAAAGTAAATAAATCAGTATCTACAGAATTATTGAACAAAGAAAATAATCCATACTCGTCCCTAAACAAAGTAAATGAGTACTTTACCTCCATTGGTGGTGAATTAGCTCATAGTATTCTGAACAAAAAAAATGAAAATGAATCATTCTTAGCTTGTAAAGCCAATAAATTAGACAAGGCCCCACTTCAATTGATGTCACTTAGTTCAGTGGACGCAGGCGAAGTTAGAAGTATTATTAGTAGCCTTAATAATAGCAGTGCTTCAGGATGTGAGATTTTGAGTGAGATTGAGAGGTTCTATGGACAGCTGTACACGTCATCGTTGGAGCCACATGCAAGTGTGAGTAACGATCCAAGAGCGAGTCTTATCCGACACTATTCCGAAGATATCCCAGACGTCAGTCTGAGCGAGATTAGAATGGCTTTCTAGCACCTTAAAAACGGCAAGGCCCCAGGCGAGGATGGAATTACAGCGGAGCTTCTGAAAGCGGGTGGAAAACCGGTACTTGAAGTCCTTCAGAAGCTCTTTAATTCCGTCCTCCATAGTGGCATTACACCGGAGGCGTGGAGCAGAAGTGCGGTGGTCTTGTTCTTCAAAGTGACAACGCGCTCTTGAAGGACTACAGACCGATTTCCCTTCTGAGCCGCGTCTACGTGCCGTTTTCGAAAGTCATTACGAACCGTCTCTCGCGCAGACTTGACGACTTCCAGCCTCCCGAACAAGCCGGTTTCCAAAAGGACTTTACCATAGACCACATACATACCCTTCGGCAAATTATACAGAAGTCCGAGGAGTACTATTTGCCACTATGTCTGGCGTATGTGGACTATGAGAAAGCCTTTGATTCCGTTCCGAAATTTGGGCGGTGCTGCAGTTCCTTCAGCGGTGCCAAGTTGACTGTCGGTATATCGAAGTGGAATACTTACTAATGTACTAAAATATTTTCAAGAAATCGTAGCAGAACCTATTTCATATCTTTGCAACACTAGTTTTACTACGAATATTTTTCCAACTACGCTCAAAAAGTCTATAGTTATCCCAATTCACAAATCAGGTGACAAATCTTTAACATCTAATTATAGACCCATTTCGCTGTTATGTGTTTTATCCAAAGTAATCGAAAAATTAGTAAATAAAAGATTAACAAACTACTTAGAGTCAAATAATCAAGAGTTCAAAAAATCAGTTCGGATTCAGGCCTAACAAATCCACCGAATATTCTCTTCTTAAGCTTACAAAATACATTATTCAACATGTAGATGAAGGTGATAAATGTATGGGTGTATTTATTGACTTGCAGAAAGCTTTCGATACCGTCTTAATACCAATTTTGTTGACTCGATTACAAAATGTGGGTGTCCGAGGTGTAGTTCTGTCATGGTTTGGAAATTACTTAACTGGGAGGACTCAGTCTGTCAGAGTTGATAAATATGTCAGTCAGGATCTTTCTTGCTCATATGGTGTCCCACAAGGCAGCACACTTGGGCCAACCCTTTTCTTAATATATATAAATCAGTTAGCCGAACTAGATCTTGAACGAGCAGACATAACCATGTATGCGGATGACACAGTGATTCTATTCCATGATAGTACATGCGAAAAAACCAAACACTTGGCTGAAAAGGGGTTACGTGAAGTGGCAAATTGGCCCGAAGATAGTCTTTTTTCACTTAACGCTTCTAAAATCACATACATCTGTTTTAATAAAACTAGTGTCTCAAGTCCTTTTAGCGATCCTGTATTACAACTGCACTCAAGTAAATGCAATAGACAACCACATACCCCTTGCGATTGCCCAAAACTTAACAGGTCCAAAACTGTGAAATATTTAGGAATCACTGTCGATGAAAATTTGCATTGGGCTTCACATGTCAAAATCATATCAAACAGAATAAGGAAATTAATATATGTTTTTATGTCACTGCGTCAGGTGGCAAATTCTAAATTACTGATACAAACTTTCAATGCGCTTTGTCAATCAGTCATTACCTATGGGATCTGTTCATGGGGTGGGGCAGACAAAACGTACCTAGTAGATGTTGAAAGAGCACACCGTATTGTGCTCAAAGTGTTACTTTTTCTTCCGTATAGGCATCCCACAACACTGGTGTATGAAAAAGCACAGGTACTTAGTGTAAGAAAATTATTTATATACCAATGTATCAGACGTTCCATAGCTACTCTGCACCCAATAAACTTGACATTAAAAACTATAATAGAAGAAATAAAGTAGATAAATATTTAGTCCCTAGAATACATAGCGC